CATGTTGTACTTATGTTGGTTTTGAAGCACTGAAGATAGCTGAATTAAAGCTAATTTTCTGGCCTTAAGAAAATCATTTCCATCCTCCAAATGTACTGGCCAGATTGGATTATGATTTAAGATTATGTGGATTTTTCCTGAGGCCACTTATATCCAGTTTTTAGCATAGACAATCTAGCAATTATTTAACAAGTCAGCTTTGTCAATCACTCATTGTCTTCATCCTGAAGGGCTTGTTTTGCTCTAGTTGGTAAGAAAACATTTAAAATGGAATTTAGTAGGATAGTGTCAAGGTATATTGCAGACAGCAAAAGAGAAAAGTTACTGAGAATTGGGTCACTTGAGAAAGTTCTGTGGAGGACGTGGACAGGTTTAAGGACCCTTCAGGAGCTCACCGTCTATGCAGGAGAATTCATAAATAGGTGATCATCAGGTAATAATTAAAAAATAGTAATAGAAGAAATGGAAAGGGGAGGCTTTTAAAAATAAAAGGTTCAGCAAAACTGTGCCTCTTGGGCAACTGTTGATAATAAGGAGAAACTTGTTTTAAAAATCCTGATGTAACTTATTCCTTTCAACATGAACTATTCAATGCTTTTTGAGTCTCATTAAATAACCAGAGTCATTGTAGGTTCCACAGAGAAACACCAATAGTATTCCAGTTCTCATCTCAGCCAGCCCTGCTGGAGGCTCAACCTCTGGTGCCCTCCTTGTATCTGATGGTATATGTAGCAGCTTACCTCCCAGAATTCACATTGGGATTTGGACATTAATTCTTTAAGACTTTGAGACATACAAAGTGAAGCAAATGGCAAAGAACGCTATTTAGTGTTTTGTTTGTTGATATATGTAAATTAAAAAACATCTATCTCATTATTGGTAGAATGTTTGCTTTGATTGATAATGGGGATTCTGATTCATAAATAATTTAGGGTTTTTTTAAGAAATTAAATAGCATTTAAGGACCAAGATGCTAACGTTTTAGGGAGGTACGCTATTCATGTATGTTCTCTGATTCTATGGAAAACTTAAATTATTACTGTAGATGTGGTATCAGAATCCATTACAGGTTACAAAAAAATTCCTGTACTTTATAGATTAAATCTAGTATTTCTATTATTTTATAGATTATATATAATGTTCTTACCACTTAAATTATAATGTTAAAAGATTTGATAATTGAATGTAGGTATTTTTAAGACCCTATGCTTAAAACATTTCTTCTATTTATCATTATGTACTATATATAATTCTAATAAATATTGTTTGCTCCAAAAAAAAAAAAAGAAATAGAATGCATGATATAAGTATGGGACTGGAAATTTCAAAATTATTTCTTTAATGGACGCTTCCCAACCCTTACCTAAGTGCTAGTATTTTATTTAGCATTCCAGAAATTTCCAGGGAATCTATCTAATTTATTTACTCATGTATATATTTTCTAGTGTTTTGTTTTCCTTGGTGCCTACTGCTGGTGACTTATCTTCAACTTAGGGTTAACCTACATCTTACTATTTTCTTTACTCCTAGATTAACTGGGAATTTCTCATCAAAAAAGAAATCATTCCTCCTCGTTGTCTTAACTCTACTGGTACTGGGACAAAGGTAACACAATTCATAGGACAGCTAGTTCTTGGATGTGCATTCTGAAAACAAAAGAGGCTATGAGGGCTGTATGGTACCTACACACTTACAAAAAGGGTAAATGAATATGGTTTACTGATTACAGATAGTCATTAGACAGTTACAAATATATTCAGTTGAAGAAATGTCCCATGAATTATTTTAAAAAATTTTCTCAAGAGTTACTTCTCTTAAGAAGAATCACAAATGATTTGGATGCTGATGCTGCTAGTTCAGGGACTGTATGGAGAACCATTGTCTGTTTCAATGATTATGTCAAGTGTTCATGGAGGCAAAAAGCTACATGAGCCACCATCCAGCTCACTTTCATCACAGGCACTGACCACTGTGTATTTGCTTTTCATCACTATGTGGGAAAAGAAAAAGCAATGTTGAAAGCATGAATTTAAGAGAGTACAGAGTAGCAAAGGATAATGATATGGGAAGGGTATAGGAGTTTTTACTTTTACTCATATAGGGTAAGGGTGACTTATTTTTTTCTTTTCAAAGGTTAGAGCAGCAGTTCCCAGTCCTCTTGTTTCAGAATCACCTGGAGTGTCCCCAGAGATTCTGATTTAGTAAGTCCTTGGACAGTATTCAGGAGTCTGCACTCTTATCCAACATTCCAAATAATAACTTTGAAGCATATTTTTAAAGATTAAACTTCAAATAATAGTGATTTTAGAAGAGTAAGATAAAAATCCAAATGGAGAACTACTCTTCCATGGGGGGTGAAAGGGAATCAAAGATGCTATTAGATAATCTCTTGTTTTAGGAGTTGTATGTAGAAGGTTATACACTAGAGCAAGAGATAGAGGTCTATCTGTCTATCTATCTATTATCTATCTATCTATCTATCTATCTATCTATCTATCTATCTATCTATCTATCGCAGTGTTTGAGATTGAACCTAGAGCCTCATGCATGCTTGGTAAGTTATGTATCACTGGGCTGCAACACATCTAGCCTTATTTAATTGTTTTTCAAAGAAGAGGTAGAAAGGGAACAGAACAGATTGACAATGAAGATGAAAGAAGCAGATCAGTTAAGAGATGACATGTTTTTATTTGTACTCAAGACCAAATGTAATAAGGAAGCAATTTAAGTGAAGGATCCCCTTTTACTTTTAAGCAGAGAACTAGCAGAGAAGAATTTCCCTTTCAAAAGTCAACTGTGAAAAGATAAAAAGTAGGAGTGGATGGCAGAAGGAGATCAGGTAGCAAATTGAGGAATTAGAACAGGAGTGGGAGTGGAGGTCCCTGGGTGTTAAGCACATGTCATCTGCAAGGAAGACTCCAGTGACAAAGTCAGAGATTCTGCACGTATACCCATGCAACCTGGAAATAAAACTGCCTATACCCAGTCTACTTCATCATTGAAAAGAATGAAAATACCACTCGGTATGGGTATATTTGTGTGTGTGTGTGTGTGTGTGTGTGTGTGTGTGTGAGAGAGAGAGAGAGAGAGAGAGAGAGAGAGAGAGAAGAGAGAGAGAGAGAGAGAGATCAAAGAGAAATAAAGGCAGGCACTGGGCAATGACACCTGTTTGGATGTGGAGTGTGTCTCCATGTTCAATTTTCTGATCACATTAGGAGTGCCAAGAAGCCAGTTTCTCCAAACACATGCTTGTATTAATAAACAGAAATATAAAAGAAAGATCAGTGTTTAGAAGGAAAAAGAAATAATACTCTTGTATTGAGAAAATGCCCCATCTTTTGAGCAATGAAACAGAATTTTGTTTTAGCTGGGCTGTGTGCATACATATACATTTATGTGTACACAATATTAGATTTTTACAAGTAGTGTATCACATCATCTGTTTTCCCCAAATTTTAATGTTCATTTGATTTCAAATCTTTAACTTCTTTACCTGAAAATCTTTCTTTTTCCTTCCCTATTTGAGGTCACTGAGCTTTCCTAGCTCTGAATTTAAATCACAGGCAAAGATTACTTTTTTTTTCTTTACTAAACTAGTTTATTAAAACCTATGTGATGCTGTTTCTACACATGTATGAACATGGACCACTGAAAACTGTTGAAGTCATTTTAAGAAAGGAGAGGGGTAAGAGAGAGTAAAGAGGGGATGAATAAAACCAGGGTACATTGTATCCATCCATGGAAATGTCACAGCAAAAACTGCTCTAGAACCATTATATACTAATAAAAACATTTAAAAACCCTTACATAGTCAAGAATAGTAGAGAAGATAGTGATACATGAAAGAATGATGAACCCACAGGTAGAAAACTGCTCGAATCCCTCTTCCCCACTCTCTTGAGCTGAAGAATGAAAAGTTTGTATTCAGGAGATTCCCAGTAAGTTATTGCTCAATGAATTAATAAAGAAAACATAAGTCAAATCCTTCAGTAATGGAATCTTTTGGCTTCCTCCCCAGGAACCTTCCCTATCATGTAACAACAATGGTTGGCTGGGGTTGACTCCACCCTAGCTCTATCACTAGGCCTTTATTAGCTAAACCAATTAATGGAGTTCAACCTTCCTGCCTATATTTCAGGCACGGAACTGGTCCAGTCAGAATGAAGCTCAGGAGTTTTGCTCTACAGTAGGAAGAAAATTCTCTCTCTTTGTGGGTCATGTGATGGATCTGATGACTGGAACTCTTCCAATTAGCTTGCTAATGGAGGGGAGCCAGCTTGAGAGTAAAGCCAATACCCAGAAGGCAGAGCATCCCTCAAAATAGGAGTCAGAAATCTGATCAAACCATGCCAAAGCCATAGCCACTTCTGGAGGGTACAGACATTTGAGCCAATATATTCTCTTTATAGTTTTTTGTTGTGTTTTGTTTTTTTGTTGAAATAGGCTCTCCCTATGTAGCTCAGGCTGGCCTTGAACTTGTGACCCTCTAGCTTCAGCCACCTGAGTGCTGGGATTATAGGTGTGAACCATCACACCAAGATGTCCTATTATAGTTTAAGTCAGAGAATGAGATACTCTATTACTCTATGCCTCCCTATTATTTGTCGAACTCTCTCGACTTTAATTCTTTGGGATATAATATGTATTTGTCTTCTTACAGCTCAATTCATTTACAGAAACAGTGGCACTTTCAGAGAACACTTACTACTCTAGTAAGATCATTACATAGTTTTATTTCTTATGCTGATTCTACTGAATGTCATGTTCACAAGTAGTAAAAATAAAAAACTTAAGCACTTTTTCTACCACAGTTTTGGTTCGAAACAATTAGTGTTCTTAAGCACTTAGATGGAAGTGATAGGAACTTTTTATTAATCCATATCCCAAACATTTCCTGAGCACTTAAATTCATTCTAATTGTTTATAGATGAGCATACAGTGTACACAGACATCTCGTAAAATATTTGCAGTGCTCCTGGCAATCTATTAGATGGAGATACCTTTGCGATGAAACTGAAGAGACCCCAGCAGACAAATGGATTTTAGCATCTCTGTTGTGTACATTTCTAAGCAGCACTGCAGCTGGATGTAAAGGCGACAGATTTCTGGATGGATCTCACCATCTTCTGGGCTGCAACAGAATGAAAGAGAAAAGCTGTGAACAGTCTCAAGATTTCACTTATCAGCCATTTGTTTCAGCTCTGAGACGAGAAAATGCTCAATAAAGATTCCTTAAAGCCTTGAATTTAAAATATAGGGCTTCCTGCTTTCAAACCAATAACCAATGTGACAGTTCTTACATAAGTGTCTTTCTGACTAACCGCTCTTCATCTCCCCCCCCCATCCCCCTTCAGCAGCAGGCTTCTGCTGGGAGCTTAAAGATCATGAATGCTTTAAGTAATTGAGAATATCAGACATTTTCAATTTAGCTATTGGAAGAAATTTCCAAAACATAGTTAAACCATAATAATTTTTTAGCCTGCAAAAAGAGATTTTTTTTTTTGAGAAACTAACAAGATTTATTCAATTAACATTTGTAAGACAGCTCTTTAATATTAGGGCCCTGGCATAATATGATTAGAGAAACAATTTACAAATTATTTTTATAAAGGTTTTTTGTCTTAGTTTAAAGGATATTCCTTTATTGTTTGCAGTGGTTAATTTATGAAAGTCCAAAGGTTTTTAATGAAAAAAATAAATATTTTATGAATAAAAGAACAAAAGTAATAAAATTCTAACAATTACATTGAGCAATCTAAAGCTAAATGAACACCAAACTTACACGTGAAAATTTATTGTAATGTCCTTGAGTATTTTTCTATTATATATGATAAAATGTGGAGTGATCATTTGTTTTTTTTGCTAGGAAGAGAGAGATTAGTTGTTGATAAAATAATATTTTTTACTTTATATGCAACTAAAATGCATGTGTTGAATAATGTAAACTAAATAAAAGGGATGAAATTTTAGAGACAGATTTGAGATGAAAGAAATCCTAAAAATGAACTCTGTCAAATATTCTTCTTGTCTTTTACCCATTCATTTAAAACAAAATGAAATCTGATTAAATAATATAGCATTTGCACGTGATTCCTTTGTAAAGTGGGCCAGTGGCAAAGTCAGGGGTAATTATCAGAAAAAAAGAATGGTGACTTCATTTTTGTGTTCTGGAATTGCAATAAAGGGAATTTGTATGTACCCCACACTTGACAATGGTAATTAGTTTTCATTTTCAATACTTATTTAGTCGACAGCAGGAATATATCCAACTGTATGGCTTATATAATTCAGGAAAATGCAGAACTCTCTGCCTCAGTATTTGTGACGCCTGCACAGTCATCCTGGGTCTCTCTGGGTCAAGTAGAACAAAGTGCCACTGAGAGCTGACATGCAAAACTTGGCTTTATGTAGAAATTAAAGGACTACCTTACTTTCTCATTTGTCTCTCATGGGGCCAGTCCTAGACCAACATTGGAAACAAATGAATCTCCGCTGAAAGTTTTAGGTTTTCTTCTACAGCTTCCTCCCACAGGCACCATCCACCTTCAAGCTCACCTTCAAGATACCAGGAGTTCCCCTCAGCCAACCCTGCCCAGACACACACACACAGACAGATACACACAGACACTCACACAGACACACACACACAGACACACACACACACACACACACACACACACACACACACACTCTATTCCATATCATCTTCAAACCTGGGAAATGTCTTTGACCATATCCCATTCCCTGATGGCCCTGCTAGATTTGGAATGGTTAATGGGAATTAATAGTTCTAGAGTAAAAAAGGATCCAAGTATATTATCTCCTAATACCTTGCATTTTATAGAAAAATCTGAAGCTATCATCTTATTCCAAAGGCAAGGTAGAAGGAAAATACTTAAAGACAGGCAGGCCTTTTTGCTGCTTCATCTCCAATAGCAGTTGCCAATTTTTACCTATGCATAACATTGGCCCTGGTGGCTCATATATAGATTAAAAAAAAGAAGAGCCAGGCAGAGGGGGTCCCATCTATAGTCCCAGCTACTTGGGAAGTAGGGATCAGAAAGATTGTGGTTCGAGGACAGTCTGGGCAAAAAGTTAGCAAGACCACATCTCTATCAATAAGTTGATTGTGCTGGCATGCTTTTGTCATCCCAGTTATGTGGGAGGCGTAAATAGGAGGATCACGGTCCAGGCTGGCCCAGGCAAAAATAGGATACCCTATTCTAAAAATAACTAAAGCCAAAAGGACTGTGAGCATGCTCAAGTGGTAGAGTGTCTGCCTAGCAAGCAGGAGGTGATGGCCATGAGTTCAAATCCCAGTACTGGTAAAAAGAAAAAGAAAAAAGAAGCAAAATCCTACAATAAATCTATTGTATATGCTGTATGATTTATGAGTGGGACAATTAACCAGTAGAGTATTATTCTAAGCCATGGGAACTTCTTATTTTCAGAGGCATAAAATATGTGGCTTCGCTCCAAATCTATGTGAACGTCACATATAGATGACATTTTATATAACTTAAACAAATGACTACGGTATTCACATATTTTAAGTGCCAGCATATTTTGTTTATTTTACAACCAGAAAGAGATAAAGCAATATATTAAGTGCTTCTGAACAAGGGGAAATTAGAACAGAGATTAAAGTGTCTAATTCAAAATGTTTCCGTAAGAGCCATGTCCCGATGCCTCAGCATCCACAGACACTCTAAAAACTGGGGGTCATTGTACTTCTCACAACTGTTATGGGAAGGAACTGAGCAGGTGTCACCAGCAATATAATTTGCCTAATAAGAATTAACCCATGCAGAAGGCACATTATAAATTTTCTATGTATTATCCTTTGGAAAACTAAAGTAGAGAGAAATAAAAGAATAATTTAAAGGGCAGTAGAAAAGCTAAGATAGCTTTCATGTTAGTGTTATGCCTAGGCCACCTTACATTAACCCCTGGATTCGGACAATTTATTTCTTCCATTTAGAGCTCTAAAACGTATTGCTATTTCTGATTACTAAACAAGCATTAAAAGGCAAATTGTCCAATGGGTTATAATATGTCTAATGCTACAAGTGATGAACTGAAATACATTTTTGAGAAGTATTAAGTGTATTTAGGTTATTTTCATAACAGAGGAACAAGAGATAGAGTATGGAGAATGGGGAAAAACCAAAAAAAAAAAAAAAAAAAAAGGAAGCAGTTTAAATGCTTGAAACTTCATAGGGATAAATGACAAGACCTAAGGAAACATTTACATTAAAGTAAAACGCAGCTGAAAGTAACTTAGCTTGGAGACAACTTCACCAGATACTACTTCTTACGTCAGCTTTAGAATGATGCACTCTCACTAACTAAAGTTTAGGTCTAGGCTATCACTCCTTAGGTGATAATTATTTAATTCAGTCAAAGAAACTTTATGCATTAGTGACTAGGTTGCAATTATTTGTTTTTCTACTGAGAATAAGTCAAAAGCTAAAAAGATCATTTTGATTAATTTCAAAGCCTTTGTGTTTATAGAAAAAAAACCCAAAATTAGTTTTAATGAGATTGCAGAGGTCAAATTTTGGAGCTCATATGGAATCCAGAAACATTTAAAATACTCACCAAATTATAAATCTGCATTTATTCAGCTCCTTAAGGATTAGAATCTGGATCTTTTGACTTAATCATGCCGCTTAATAAACCTGATTTGATATAGTAACAAGAGGGCCTGAAAACAGATACTGCCTAAGTCACCATGGAGAATTTCAATGGTGAATGTTCCTATTTTGCAATTTAGACAGTAATATGATGAAGAACTGCCACCATGGATAATATAAAAAACCCTGATAACAGTAAATGTTGGTGATGATGTGAAAAGAACAGAAACTCTCAGACACTAAAATGAAATTCTCAGTTGTTAATCCTTTGAAGAAAAGTTCTGGCTGTTTTATTCCAAAATGAAACATACACTTAATCCTATGACCTGATAATTCTAAGTATTTGCCCCACAGAAATAAAGACATTCACAAATAGAACTGTACAAGAGTGTTCACAGTATGTATTCAGAACAGCCCCAAACTGGAAACAGCCTAAGTGTCTATTAATTGGAAAATGGTTAAAGAAATTTGTAAATCCTTCAACAGAGAAGTATACTCAACAATTAAAAGTAGCTAACTCCTTGCATTAAAAAATCATGGATGTGTGACAAAAAACATTATCTTGAGTGAGAAAAGCCTTACACAAAGAGTAAAATAAGACTCCATTCACACAAAGTTATATAACAGAGAGAACTAATTGATGGTGACAAATCTTAGAACAATGGTAGGGAATTGTTGGAGAAGGGCCACAGGGGAACTTTCTGAGGTGAGGTTAATGTTCCATATCTAGAAAGAGGCGTGAGTGAGATGGGTGTATACATTTGGCAAAACTTATCAGAGTGGTACAATTAATATTTGTGCATTTATTACATTAAATGAATTGTTGGTTGGAAAAAGGGATGAAAAGACAAGTAAATATATAGTAAAATATCAATTATTGAGTTAATATTAATTAATAAAATATTAATTATGGGTATTAATCACATGGCACAAAACTTGGAGGGTTTTTAGTTATGAAATGTCTTGTTGCTGCATATGTCTCCTCTTTTATTGAGATTGCCAGACTTTGGAGGTCAGTACTTATTCATGATTTTTAAAGACCAGTAAGATATTTGTTGCTTTGCTTTGACAGTCTATCCCTAGTGTGATGATTTGTGCATGTAGTTGAAGGCAGCAAGACAAAGACAGGAATATGAGTTCTGAAGTCAGAAAACTTAGATTTACATTTGCCACTTAAAATTGTAATCTTAGGAAAACCATCTTAATTTCTCCAAGACTCAGTTTCCTTCAGTGTGAAAAAGGGATATCAACTACACAAATTACCTCAAGGTTGCTGCAGGAATCAAATGAGACCATGCGTGGGCAAACAACTAGAAATAAAAAGGATTGTAAGAAGTTGGCTATGATCCATCTTACATCAAAGTTATGTTTACTTAAGCCTTATGTTTGCTTACAGTCCTTAGATATTAAAATTATCTGTTGCTCTGTAATAATATATTTATTTGCTTGCAGTTCCCAAATATGGACTTTGGTTAAGTAAACATTCCATGAGACT